ATTATATTCACTATTTTTTGTTTTTTTGTTTTTTGCCTCTGCCGATTTTTATGTTTTGAGATCTGCAGGGGAGAGTTCAATTTTATTAATTCCTTGAGAAATATTGATATAGAGATTATGCAAAATTTATTTGTAAATATGAAAGCTTTGCATTATCTAATGCAAAAGTTATTAATAAGAAAATGAAATAAACCTATAATTAAATAGCTATTCATCTAATTAGAATTTATACATAGTTGCAATAAATCCTCACTCATATTCTAATTAAGCCATTTTCTAATAAAACTATTTCCTTTATGTAAGATAACAAAATAAATACTTTTTACTAATCATACTAACAGATTAATTACAAGGATTTAAATAGCATTATTGAATAAATATATAGAATAAAGTTTATATAAAATAATAACAATAATGATAGTGTTAAATTTTAATTTTATTAACAAACAAAAATTAAAAAGAATGTCTTTACCTTCTTTTTCTAATAATGAAGAGTCTAATGTTACATCATCAATAGCATTAACATCATCAACTACAAGTTGCAAGAAGAAAAAAGCTAATACTAAAGTTGCATGTAGTAATAAAAGCCATATCAGTTTTTTTTTTTGTATAAATAAAGACAATGCTGAACTTGTATACTGTAAAATATATGTGCATAACTTTGCTGATTCTTAGCAAACTCCCTATTCATATACTTATAAAGATGGTAATACATTAAATATGATTACCTATTTATATAACAAGCATAATATAACTAAAGATAACTATACTGATCACTTGGATGAACACAATGAAGTATATACAATATTTTGAAATTTTATCATGTTTAATAGCATAATTAGAATGCTATTTAAATTGTCATTCAAACTGCTATTTAATATTATTATAGTATTATATAATTTTGCAAATATATATGTTATAAAATTATATAATAGTATGAATAGTAGTTTAAATAACAGTTTGAGTAGCATTCAATTATGCCATTCAACATGGTAAAATTTTTAAGTTTATCAGTAATGTATTAAAAACAATTAATTAATGATCTGCCAATCATCTGAACAAAGATTATAGTATAACATAATGCAGATTACTATATAATTTACTATAGAATGAAATGCAGTATGCACCTATTTAAAACTTTTTTTAGTACTAAGTTAACAGTTCAAGTTGATTAATTGAAAGTTATAGAGCTTACTGAGGCACATTTAATGGCGATTAGATCATCCAAATTGGTCTAGTAGATGTTGAGATATTGTCAAAAAATGCTTGATTGACTATGTAAAATTCTATACAGACTATTATTTATATAAAATTTTATATAGAATTTTACATAGTTAGCCAAGTGTTTTTTGATAATATTTTAGCATCTACTGGACTGATTTAGATCATCTACTCACCATTAAATGTGTCTTAGTAAGCTTTATAACTTTTAATTAATTAACTTAAACTATTAACTTAATACCAAAAAAAGTTTTAGATAGGACATACTGTATTTTACTCTATAGTAAATTATATAGTAATTTGCATTATATTATACTATGATCTTTGTTCAAATAACTGACAGATCATCAATTAAGATAATTAATTTTAGATTATTTTTAGCCAAAATGTGATCAATTCAAAGTTACTAACTATTACAATATCACAGCATCATCATGTTCATCACAAAGACAACAACTAATTATAAGAAAATTAATCCAATTTATTATTCAGTTTGTTCAATCTCTTTATATCTTAAAAGATTAATCTTTTTATGAATTTGTTTATATCTGTGAATTCAGATTCTAAGTGTCATATGATAAAACAGCTAAAGGATTGATTCATTAAGCATATAATTGGAGTAATGATCAACTAAAATCTCTAATTAGTAGTAATACAATAGTTATTCAATTGTCTACTAATCTGTAAATAGCAAAATCTCATCATAGATATTTAGACATTACTGCAACTTGGTTATCTTTTGAGTTTAAGTTCAAAAAGGTCCTAATTTATTGTGACTACCTTACATATCCACATTCTGGAAATATAATTTGTGAGAAATTAATTTAATTAATTCGTAAATAATGTCTTGATTCAATGATCTTTACTGTAGCTATAAATAACAGAGCTAATATGGTTAAAGAAATAAGGTTATTGCATGAAATTATTAATGATGTAGAGCATCAGCTTTGTGCTATATATACATTGCAATTATTAGTAAAACAAGAACTAAAACAGTATAAAGCTATTCATTATTATATTAAAAATTTACAGACTTTTTTTTGATTCTCTAAATAGGCACAACATTTATATAAAGCACAATATAAATTTAGTGTATATGATAAGGATCAAAATATTATTAAAAGTTTACTTGATATTATAACTAATATAAAAATGAGGTAAAATTCTATCTATTTGGCTTGAAAATATGTCTTAAAGTTGCATAATGCGATGTAATTTGTTTCAACTTTGTTACTTTCTAAATCAAATTATGCTTTGCAAAAAGAAAATGAAAAACTAGAAAAATTGTACTTATCAGTTAGTGAAAAAGAGTAATTATAAATTTATTTAGTTTTGTAGTATTAATTATAAATATTGCTCTTTAAAATTCAAAGTATTTTTTCTTATTTTATCTAAGCTTTTGAAACTTTAAATTTTAAATTTTTTATTTATGTTAACTTGCTCTTTTTATTTATTTATTTTATTTTTATTTTTATTTTTTGTTAAAGGTCATACTTGTAGTAATACTTTATTGACTTTATATCAGGTTAGTTATTACAACTATTTTTATAGAGATAAAAGTACAGCTAGTCATGCATGCAACTTTTGATTGCCTATTTAAGTAGTCTGGCCTAAGGTTCTACACTAGGTGTTGTACCTATAACCTACTAGGAGATTATCTATTTAAACCCTCTGATCATCTGCCCTGTCATATTGAAATCTCCAACTTATCTCTATATATATCTAACCAGTATACCATCTGAGCAATATGATTACTTATTTTTTTTGTACTGATTCTTAGACTGTTATATATTTCAGAATACATTATCTGCTAGTAAGGTGCAAGGGGCTTCCTATTGTTAACTATCTACTTATTTTTCAAACACTAACATGGACTACCCTTACAGAGTTCACTTAGACTCCAGTACTGACTTCATAGCATATCTCTAGTACTTTTAGTATACTTCTGCTTTGAACTCAAACTCTTAATACAGATAGCTCAAAAGAACTGTTGGTATATTAAGGCTGGCCCAATATTCTTTTTCTCCAGTCTGAGATCTGATAACCTGATTGGTGATACCCTTTATCTAAGATTCTTGCCTATCTGAATCCTTTACATAGTATCCATTTCCTAGGACTAGTCTTTACAGTAATATTATCGAAGATCTATATTATCTCTCTGCTCAAAATTTCTAAGTAGGCTTTGGCTTTACAGTTTTACAGATTTACACAGCCTGAGAACTTATTTTAGGTTTGCACCACCTAGTACTGGTTTGCATTCCTCTATGTAATAGGTTACATAAATGCCCAAACCTGTCAGTTATGCTGGTACAACCATAATTACAAGTATCCTATCCCAACTAATTAACAGAATGCTATTGCTGTAATACTGTTTATATATTATATAAGGTAATTATCTAAATTTTACTATTGATAGGTTTTGAACTTACAACCTACCACTTGGAGGTATAACAACTTATCCACTTCACTAAGTCACCACACTTCTTCTTTTTATTTATAGAGTATAAGCTTATTTGTTTCTGTAAAATTTATTTTATAATAATAAGAAATCTTATCTATAATAACAATATAATATAATCAGAGTTCTGCAAGTGCCAAATATATATTATTAAAAATAATGCCTGTATCCATGTCTGGCACTATGTTTTAATAGTGCCCATACCTGACATCTGCAGAATCCTAAACATAACTACAATATTTAGAGTTAAATAAACCCTATATTCTGAAATAAAATATTTAAAATAAAGACTTTTGATTTTATTTTTTTTTAATAAAATGTTAAAAAAATTTTTTTTTTTATAGATTTTTAAAAAATATGGTAAATTTACTAGAACCAATTGAAAGAATAACCTGACACTTATATAGTGCTAAATATCTGGCTATTAATCTTGTTTATTTATATATAGAATTACTCAAAAAAAGATTTGCTCCAAAGACAAATAAAATGGTTAATACTTATTTAAATTTGATTTATGAAGAAGTTAAAAGTAAAGAGAATGAAAGTAATGAATTCAATAATAATATTTCTACTGCTGGCACTTGTAAACAATGGCAATATGTACACAGACAATTTAGCCAAAGGATGGCTTCTTATGGTCAAAGTCAAAGTTAAAATATAAAAACACAAAGATGTTTTACTAATATTAAGTTAAAAGATACTAATCAGGTGGAATATTTGCCTTCTGTTACTACTGATGATTTACTTTGTAAAGTTCAAGCTACAATTTATCTTTCATTAGATGAATTATAGGCAGTTTTAATGAATATTGCTTTAGTTGCTATGTTTTTTGATTCAAGGTTCAAATATTTCAATTGGATAACAAGTGTTAAGCAAAATAGAGCACAAGATTTATTAAAGACCCTATATAATGAATTAAAAATAAACCTTACTATTTCAGATAACAATTAAGAAAATTTAGTAGACAGTAATTATAATAATAACAATGATGATTTTTTTTATGAATTAGAATCAAATTTTATACAAGTTGATATAAAAGATGATAATGAAGTAACATATTATATAAAGTTAAAAGAAATCAAACTTATTGATAATTCTCTAAAATGATGGTTAAAAAATAGAAGTAGCTTGCCTGTTTTAGCCCAATTGGCTTGCAAATATCTTTTTATTCTGGCAACTTTCATGCCAAATGAAAGATTATTTTTTAATGCTAGCAACTATATCTTAGCAAAATAAACTTATTTGTTACTAAATTTAGTAAATAAGGTTTTGTTTTTGAAACACAATAGAGTTCATTTTAATATATTTCTATCACAAGAATAACAGTTTTTTAATAGCTGTTAGCTTATTTATTCAATCTGAAGGTTTAATTTTTCTTTTAATTTTTCAACTGTATTTTTTTTTTATTTTTAAATTTTTAAATTTTTTTTTTACTTTAAATTTTCAATTTTAAATTCTTTAAAATTAACTTTTTTTGATTTTAGATTTTAAAATTTTAAATAAGTTGATCATTAAGGATACTGATAAATTTTTTGATGATTACTAGGCCTACTGAATAATTAATTGAGAAGGTAATTAATTGCAATTATTTAGAATCTAATTAATTAATTGATGGCACACTTACAATTAGTCAATTAATTGCAGTTTAATTATTTTTAGTATAATAATTATATAATTGTAATAAGATAATTGTAATAAAATTTAATTGCAATTAATTTTTTGGTACTCTTGGTGATTATAATTCACTTTTTTAATAATAAATATTGATACTAGTTTTCTTACTTTAAACAGAAAGACTGCTTAAAATTAATTGTATATTATAATTATTTCAAATTTATATAAACCAAATCTCAAAATGTTTCTTGATATATAATCATTTAACTTTATAACTAGTTTCACTCTACTTTAAACTTATTAGACACATTATTATTAATTATACTTGTCTAATTTAAACCTTGTTATAGAATATATATATATATTTATATTTTTGTATATAGTTGCATAATATATACTATAAACTCAGAAAATAAGTACTATTTTTTTAATTAATAAGGGTGCTTATTCATTAGTTATTTAAAAATTGTTAACATATTCCATAATTGCAATTATAAAAAACATAATTAATTTAAAGTTTATTTGACTATGCTTATTGTAGCGAGGTTGAGTAATAGCAGGTTGTTACTACAAGTATAACTCAACAAAATACATTTATATAGTAGAATATACTTCAAGACTTGTGCTTTTATTAGATGTATAAGTATTTTATTTTTTATGATTTTCTCTATAAGTGAAAGACTAATTTTCTTTATTTATTTTTTTTGACCCTACTTTTTATATTATATTCAATTAATTCAATTATATTATTTATAGCATTTATTTATTAAACTTTCTTATATTATATTTGACTTTGTTATTAATATTATTAATAATCAATTTTGTATTAACTATCTTATTATTACATACTAATACAATCATGCCAACTTGATGCAATTGATCTCTTTTTGATGATATCATATGCTTTATATAAAATGTTTGTTTCATATTTATATACCTTACCATTACCTTTTACTCTACTAATCTATTTCTTTAATTCTTCTCATTTATATAAGATTTTATCTTCATACAACATTCTTTATACCAGGTATTAAGACATTTCTGCAACTACGTAATACTTATTTATAGAATATTATTGTATAGGTGCTAATTTATTACTATAAGTAGATGGGTGATTTGCACAATTTTTTTATATAAAAATTAGTTTTTTTTATATACAAAAAATACACAAGTCATCTATCTAACTGTAAGTGTTTATTTAGAATTTTATAATATATGTTTATTATATATTTTAATATTTATATATTTTATTTATAGTATTATATTTCTGTACTATTGTTAGTTATCACAACTATTCATATATGCAAAATAACCAAAATTTAATAAATAAATTATACAAACTAATCAAACTTAAGATTTCATAAACAGATCTTATTAAAACACTATATAAGCTATACAATTTGTGATTTTATTACTTCATTTTTGGTAATGCTTTTAATAAAACTTAAATATATTTGAATCAGATTTGTCTAATATCAAATAATGGCTTGAGCTTTTTGTTTTTATTTGGCAATGCATAAATATAAATATTATCTTTTATCATTGATTTACAACACAGCCCTAATATTTAATTTATATTGATAACAAATGCTTTATTTAATTAGTTAACAAAATCAATTTCTGAGAACAGTTTAAAGTTTAAAGAACTCTTTTTAAAATTATTTTAATAATTTAATAAATGAAAGTGAATAATAATATACTAGCCTTCTTTTTACTATGTAGTATTTTATTTCTAAAATTATTTTATAACAACATCAAACAAAAGGCTGTCCTATCTTATTGCAGTATTATAATATTTTAACACAATAATATTATTGTATCTAGATATAGTAATATAACCTGTAAATTTTAAATAATATAAATAATTTATGAGTTACTTTAAATTTATAAATATTCATTAATTTAAAGTAACTCATAGATTATCTATATTATCTGTTCAATGTTCAGTTTATATATCTATCTAGATACAATAGCATTATTGCATTTGATATAGTAGCATTACAGTTATGGCATTATAGGTATGGTATTACAGCTTAAAGAAATTATAACAAATAATATAGCATATGCCATAACTGTATTAATTTGCCAAATAGGATCTGTGCCTTGAAAATAATATTATAAAACATAGTAATTACTATGTTTTACAATATTATTTTTAAGACATAGACTCCAAATGAATTTTATTGCCAATGTCTAATAGTAAAGGTGTAACAAAATATCTTTATATTTGTTATAAATATAGCATATATCAGCTTACACAAACGGTAAAATGATACTATATCTGCTTTTTCATATATACTCACACAAATTACTTGAAGTTTCTATAAATGCTTATTTAAAAAAATATTATAGTTATCTACTTTGAGACTTTATAATCAATTGCAAAAGTGTTTACTAAATCTTTTTAAGCAAGATATAGGCTCTGAAGTTATTTTGACTCTAATGGCTTGTTAATTTGTACACTTTTGATTCTGCTTATTAGTAATAAAAAAATATGCAAGCATCTGGCTTACTAATTCAAAGGTCTTGAAATGAAATTTGTATAAGAAGTTATAATAAACTAAGAAGGTGAAGCTTGGAAAACAGACCAACTTATCAATAAATAATGAAACCACCTTTAGCACCAACAATTATAGCAATAATAATGATAGTAAAAGTGATAATAGTGACAAACAAAAAAAAATATTTTATAACCTTCAAAAAGTATATTATTAATGTGTAGTTAGGAATATTATTTTTAGTAGTTTAGCAATAAATAAAGTTCAACTTGAAGAATAAGAACAGTTATCACCTTTCAAGACAGATTTAAGGGCTAATAAAATTCTTCCTTATAAAGCTCTACTTTATTTTAATTCAATTTTTCTTGAGTGTGATTGTTGTCTTTCTAAGCAAAGTGTATGCAAAGAGAGAAAGATCATAAAGACTTTCTGTGGTTTAAAACTATTGAGCTACATTGTAAAAAATAATTGTATCTACTAGAAAATTTTGATCTAAATTAATCAAAAATATAAACTCAGATTAACAATCTTTATAATTTAGCATAAAACCCAAGGTAAGATGCATCTGTCTACAAAGAATTAATCATACAAATATATACATCCTTTTTGAATATCTGAAAATTTTTTAGCTGAAGATCTTAAATTAATTAATAAATCTCAAATAACTAATATTATAAGCCCCTAATTTACATTTATAGAAAAGTTTCTAGAGAAGAAGATGCAATGCCAGATTGTTAAAAAGTTAATTGATAATAAGTTATTTTCTCTAAATATGATAAAGCTTAATACTCATACTCTTAAATTTAGTACTCTTTCTAACTTTTAGTTAGATATGCTTTTGAATGCAAATTATAGTGAATTATATAAAAACAATGAAAATAATGAATTCTTATCTTTCTAAAAAATTCCTTCAGATTTTATGTATATATTAGAATCTAATGTTTTTATTCTAAATAGTAATAATAAAAAAAATACACTTGATTTAGAAGTAGATAGATAAGAAGAATTTGCATATTGGGCATATTTTTTATAAAACCCAATTTCAAAAAAAGTTTTGCAACTATTGCCATCATTTATGATATAAAATTGAGCATGCATACCTAAGTGCAAAAGATCAAAATAAAATCATTGAATATAATATTTATGAAATATCATAACAAAACCCACAAAATAAACTTAATATCACAGAGAATATGACAAAGAGAGTTATATATAAAATCAATTTTAAAGGTTATTATCACATCTTCAAACTACAATGTTTTAAAAATACATATGAAAAGATTATAGTTGATTTTTTCAGTCTCTATAATCTTATAGTTGTAAAAAAGTCTCTAAAGATAATAAATCAATATTATACTTACACTCTTATCCACCCTTCTTATCAATCTAAACAGTTCTCTAAGCACCTAATAGAATATTTTAGCAGTTTTACTAATAGCAATATTAAACCCTATATTACAGCTAATACCACTTTTAGTCATTGCTGAAATATATAAGGTATGTCTATAAGCTAATCAAGAGTCTACAACTACTTTCTAATATGGTCAACAACTATATTCATAACACTTATCCAACCTTATATGCTAAGATACAGAAGCTCAATTTTGGGCCCAACATTTCAAAATCTTTTGAAACTTTTTTCACAATTGCTATCAACTTTAATGCCATCTTTTAGTTCTA